AAAGCTCTATAACAATAAAAACAGCAATGTTATTAGCACAAAAATAGAAATGTGATCAGTGGGATAAAACTGAAAACCTAAACATAAGTACATACATCTATGGACACCCCAGTATTTACAAAGAGCCCAAAAATACAAACCAGAGAAAAGATAGCATCCTCAACAAATGGTGCTGGTCAAAATGGATAGTTACATGTATAATAATTCTAACAGATCCATATGTAAGCTACTTTTTAACATATTATAGTTAAGGTTCCTATAACTAAGGCTCTACCTCCCTTCTTTATCCCTTATCTCTCCTGATGCCTTCCAACCCTTCAACGCTAGGTAGGGAAAGGTGGCGATGTAGACCTCTTTAGACTTCATTACTCTCGGTTAGAGTTCTCTTGTTCAGGGCAATATCAATCTCAGCCATCAGGATAGTTACCAGTCCAGCAAACCAGCATCAACAAACAGGAAACAAACAAGCAGCCTTCCTCCTCCTACCATCTCCTCAAAGTGTTTTCCTTCTCTGGTATTTATGCCATCTCAGAGTCCTCATAGTTAAATTATCTCTAGCTGGCAAAGACCACGCCCCTCTCTGAGCCACATGAGGTTGTTATCAGTTGCGGATGAACTAAAAGCAGCTCCATATCCTACACTAGGGATTAAAAAATAAGTTTACAAAACTTAACTAAGTTTTTTTTTTCATGTCTTTTTTAAATTTTTATTAATTACACTTTATTCACTTTGTATCCCACCTGTAGCTCCCTCCCTCCTCCCCTCCCAACCCCACTCTTCCTCCCTTTACTCCATCCATGCCCCTCCCCATGTCCATTGACAGGGAAGGTCTTCCTCCCCTTCCTTCTGATCCTAGTCTATCAGGTCTCATCAGTAGTGGCTGCATTGTCTTCCTCTGTGGCCTGGTAAGGCTGCACCCAAGAAACCAAAACTTCTACTACATCCGTATTTATCACTCTGCACAAAATTCAACTCTAAATTGATCAAGGACCTCAACATAAGACCCGATATCCTGAATATCTGATAGAAGAGAAGGTAGGGAATAGACTTGAACTTGTTAGCACAGGAAAACTCTTTCTGAACAGGACACTGATAGTGCAGGCACTAAGAACAACAATTATTAAGTGGAACTTCATGAAACTGAGAAGTTTCTCTATGGCAAAGAACACCATCATTCTGGAAGCAGACTACAGAATGGAAAAAATATTTTTACTACCCATACATCTTATATAGGGATATTCACAACTGGACAATGAGCAGAGAATGAGAAATATTAGAGTACTCATTCCTAAATGGGATGTCTTGATCAAACTCTTTCCTCAGTGCTCAGGGACCTATGTGGAAGAAAGGACAGTGATTTTAACAGTCAGAGGCAATGAATGACACCAAAGAAGCAATGTCTTTTAGACACAACAGGACTGATGCACATATGAGCTCACAAAGACTGTGGCAGCATGCACAAAGCCAGCACAATTACAAGACAGTCAGGGTCCCAGCTCTAGAAAGGGGAAGTTCACATGGGATTCCAAGCCTATCTCCAATTGCTTGCAAAGGAAAACTTAGTCTTCTCCAATGGAGTCTCACTGGGCATATAAACCACACTCCAGGATAAAGCCCATGGCCAGAGCAGTAGCTAACCAACATAAAACAAACTTAATGCTAGTGTTGTAAGACTTTGGTCTTAATAGCATTGTTTGGGCTCTTCTTTCTTCTTCCTCCTCCTCCTCCTTCCTCCTTTTGTCTTACTGGTCTTTGGTTTTCAGTTTTCTGAATTGTGTGTGTGTTTCTTGTGTTTTTGTTTCTTTGCTTGTTTTTATTTGTTGATTTTTAAAGAGAGAGAGAAGGTATGTGGAGTTGATTGGGTAGGGAAAATCTGGAAGGAGTTAGGGAAGGGGGAAAGTATGATCAGAATATATCATATGAAACTATTCTTTTTCAATAAGAAAGGCTGGAAGCACAAACACTTTCAAATGATACAAGGTCTTGGCAACACTTCAGTTTACTATTTGTAAACTTTTAAAAGCCCTACACAGATAAAACCTACACAACCTCTAAGACTTTCACTCTTATGAAGTGTACAATTCAGGTTTTAACCAGTTTTTTCAATGTATTGCTTGGCCATGAGTGTAGACTCATGAGAGGGCTTCTTGCATATGAAAATACCAAGGAAGCTATTCTGTGTAGTGAGGCAACCAGGCCTCCAGAAAGGTTATGTTTAAGCTTGAAGAGTATTGAGCAACTGGGAGCAGTTAAGCTCACAAAAGAAGTGTTCAAACTACAACAAACAGCAAATGAAAAGAATGTAGTCATGTGACCTATGAGAGAACAGCCTTTTCTTGGAAGGCTTGAGAATAAGGCAGGTTTCTTTTCTTCTTTCTTTCTTTCTTTCTTTCTTTCTTTCTTTCTTTCTTTCTTTC